CACTCTAACCACTGCGCCACCTTGGCTCCTTACAAATACACTTCAGTAGTACAAAATCATTTCAGCAAATTACTTTTTAGGCTTTATTAATTGCTATATGCCATATGTATATACTTTTCATCCTCCTTCTCTCATCACTATTCAATATAGGACAACACAATACTGGAGGAAGAAAATAAAGAAATAAAATAATAAGGTTTCCATTTCATTGGGGAAAGTAGTGAAGGGACCATCAAAGAACATCAGCTATGGTTAACTTATGGTCCTTGCAGGTACAGATGCATGGTGAGCAAGATAACAGCAATAAACTTTCAGTTTTGGCTAAGCTAAGGCAATCGACCCCAAAATAAGCATACCACCCACAGCTGAAATCTTAGGAATGTCAGAATGCCCTTGCAGAAATAGCGTGCATGTTCTGATTTCATTAAACATGCATTGCAAAGTCTTGAAAAACAGATGGGCTGGGATCTGGAAAACAGCATGATAAACAACCAAGATACTTCAAGTCACATGAATTTACATTAGGGAGAAAAAACAGGAATGGACTCCTACAGCAGCGGGTATGTAAAATTCCCATTTTAGTCACTTTTCTATAAGTCATAAAAAGACCACAAGGATTGCCAATCATTTTCTACGTGCAGTCAAAACTGATTTTGAACTGGGAGAATTGGAGCATATTGCATAAGCCAAACTGAACCAGGAAAGAAATCACAATTTACAAATCTTAGATGCAACTTCTGACCTCTAGTGGTTCCACGTAGTTTCCGCTTAGTATTCCTGTAACCAAAGCAATAAAAAGGGAAGTGACTATTCTGGAACAGAGGTTAAATAGCACATCAAAAGGAAATAGTAAGAAAGTGGTAATGAATCACATGTGGAGAAAGTCAGTGTGATGCTCCACCTCACCGACAACACTTGTGGTTTATAACATAGGAAATGAAACTACAAATCATATTGACAGAAAAGAAAAGTGCAGGAGACAGGATCATGGGTGCACATGGTTGGGTGAGCAGACTCAAGCCATTTCCCATTTTATGCAGCAGTTGCTGCAGTGCTGATGCAGTTTTACTAAGATGCCAGAGACTCACTGTATTAAAGAATAACACTTGATAAAGCAGCCAACTCAGACGAGATCAGAGGCTTCCCACCCACCACCAATAATAATAACAAGATTAGATAATAATAGCAACAGTGTGTTAGTGAGCTATCTCCACAGCATGCTGCTCAAAACCACCATTAAAACAACTTTCTTCTGTGTATTACTTTCCAAGACGCATTGTGCTCAAAATCGTTGCTCATAAGCAGGGTTGGGTTTCTTTGTTTTTAAAGGTCAATTTCAGATATTAATGTTACAAGAAAATTATGATTTTCTTCAAAATTTTGAAGAACATTGTCTTTTCTTCAAAACTGAATATAACTTTGGAAATGAAATGAGAAAGAAAGGACAAGCTTACACCAAGGTATTTGATTCATAATAAAAGTTTTGGTCATAAACTAACTTACTTGTTATTAAAACCTCCATCGTGTTGTTGAAATATCACCTTGTCCCAAAATTAAGAAGATGCAGCAATAGAAGCTCCAGATTTGTCTAGATTTAAAGGATAAGCTAGCTCCATATTTTTGGGATATATGTGTTAGTTTCAACAACTGATACTCATTTAAGAGCCGTAGTGGCACAGTGGTTTGAATGCAGTATTGCAGGCTAACTCTGCCCACGGCTTTAAGTTCGATCCTGAAGGGGCCTCAAGGTTGACTCCACCTTCCATTGTTGTGTGTGTGTGTGTGTGTGTGTGTGTGTGTGTATATACATATACATATACATATACATATACATATACATATACATATACATATACATATGCAAATCCATGAAGTCTTCCTGGCAACATTTTTTCACAAGTGGTGGCCCTTGCCTACTGCTTAGGGTGGAGAGAGAGGCTGGCTATATGCCTCAGATGTGATCTCCTCTGGTTTCTAGCTCAGAACCTTTAACAACCATTGCACCAAACAACACTCTATTCTAAACTTCTGTAATGTGAAGGTGGCATTTCATCCTTTCATCCCAACCCATTAAAAAGTTGGCAGATGCCTAAAGATTCAGAAGCTGCCAGGATGAAGGGATGGGAACATCTTACAGTTATTTAGCATGAGCGGCTGTAGGACTTTTATTCAAAGAACACATATTTTTTCATCATAAAAGGCTATACTTTTTCCACGCTTGTTAACAGAGTTTTCAATTTGTTTGGTCCAGGAAAGGGAAACACATTTTTTAAAAGGATAAAGAAAAAAGTGGGGAAACAATAAATAGGATTATTCGTCCTTCTTTCAAAAAGATGTGCTATATGTGGAACCGTATTATAGGAAATGTTTGCTAGTCATCCTGTAATAAAATTTTGATTCCAGTAAATGAAATGAAATAATGAAATGAAACTGGGAAGTTTACTAATCTCTGCTACTGTTTATTCCATTGCAGATTTTTTAAAAACCTTCTTAGTTCTAGCTGCAATTATTATTATTAACCTTGTTTTAAAAAGGACTAACGGATTTAAACAATATGGTGATTATGTCTCTGAGTAATTATTACTGGGAAAGCACTATTATCCTTATGTTGTGAACTAAAGATAGACCATTTTGTAGACCATTTATGATCAAGGATGCTGTACCAGATGGACTTTTTTGTCTGGAAATTTTAGGAATAATAGCCTCAAAACATATGGAATATATTAAGTAGGGAAAAGCATTTGATCTGATACAGGTGGGATGTTACATTCTTGATATTTCTGGGGATTTGAGAGGCTTCAAAAATGTGTCAACTCTGAATCATGCTGTAAGAAATTACATACTCATAGCTATTGTTATGGAACATTTCTTGTGATTTTGCAACTCGGTTCTATTGTGTCAACTTTGCTGAAGTGTCTCATGTATGATTTCATCATACTGAAAAATTCCAAGTATGAACAAGAGTCTCTTTGCTCTAAAGTTCTGTGTCCTTATAAGTAATTTGGTCCAAGTAAGAAGCTTGACAAATATTATCTCCCTGATATCATACAATTCAGTATTTGTTAGGATTCCTTGCCAGCACAGTGTCTCTGGGCAGTATAGATTTATATTTATAGGAATTCCTTATTATTCTCTTACCCAGAATCATAGTAAAAGTACCCAGTCACGAATATAGCTGTTGTTCAGAATAATCTAAAGGAATCAATTATTAGTGTTTACATTTAATTACTTAGTAAGGTAACGGTAAAGATTCCCCTCACATGTATGTGCTAGTCGTTCCCGACTCTAGGGGGTGGTGCCCATCTCCATTTCAAAGTCGAAGAGCCAGCGCTTCTGAAGACGTCTCCGTGGTCATGTGGCCGGCATGACTAAATGCCAAAGGCGCACGGAACGCTGTTACCTTCTCACCAAAGGTGGTCCGTATTTTTCTACTTGCATTTTTTACGTGCTTTCAAACTGCTATGTTGGCAGAAGCTGGAAGCTGGAACAAGTAACGGGAGCTCACCCTGTTACATGGCACTAGGGATTTGAACTGCTGAACTGCCAACCTTTCGATCGACAAGCTCAGCATCTTAGCCACTGAGCTACCGTGTCCCTAATTACTTAGTACAAGGAAACAAATGATTCTGAAATAATTTTAGTGCTTTCAAGAAAGAGATCTGAAATATTTTAAATTCTTATTGTGAACAATCCTGTTGACTTCCTTGGAAGATACATACTGGGTAAATGATCTTTTTCTGTCAGATTTAAGATAAACTTATTTAAACATATTTAAATATGTTTACATATTTACTTAAAATAAAATGATTTTCCTAGCTTAGAACTTCTAAAGAACATTCTGAAAATATTTTGGATCACTGGCGTCTGACGGGAAACAATGATATAAATTCACATTGGAGGTTCTCTTAGAGCAATTGAATTTATCTGACTTGGAGTTCTACCAGAAATCTTCTCCCACCTTATATAGAAATGGATCAATTGGTAACTTCCAGAACACATAAACACTGGGTTATAAACCTTTCACACCAAGATAATATGTGTATTTCACTACACAGTCTCTATGTATCGAAGTGAAGAGAGGAACAAAACTATGTGTAGATAAACTTGAGAGAACAAATGGAAAGAGAGATAAGTCCTATGCAGATCTTAAAAATGCTAATCTTCACCAGGAACAACTGTTTCAAAAGGATCTTTGCTTTTCAAGAGGAATGTCTAATGCACGGGTGTCAAACTCGTGGTGTCATGTTGCCATCACATGACATTTTGTGATGGGCGTGGCCTGCATATGACATATCCAGCCTATGGGCCGCCAAGTTTGTCACCCCGAGTCTAATGTACTGCACATTCTGCCCATTCAAACATATTCTACTGTTCTCATCAGATGACCTTTCCTCCATCCATAGATAATTATTTGGGAGAAACCTCTTGCTATCCTATCAGTAAGGACTGCACTACAGTTCGATGTTAACCTTAAAAGGTGAGGCCTCAACCTAAAGCATCACAAATGGGCTAAGAAAATATCAACTTGCTCAAGGAAACCTTGGGGCTCCAGGTGATAGTACTTAAGATCATATAATCAGGTTGCTTTTCTTCCCAGATAGCTTGTTCTGAAGGCCTCTGGGAAGAAAGGAGAGAGATCTAAGCTGCTTGTGAAGGGAGTAGTGGTTAGAAATTGCGAAGGACACAATTAGTCTTGTGTCTCTCCAAAATCCAAGGTAAGCAACTGAGGTGTTCTTTAAAAATATAGATAATGCCAATTCATATTCCTGATATGCATTTTCCCCCTTTATTCATAAATAGCTCTACACCATAACTTGCAGAATGGAGGTCAGAACAGGTATCACAATCGAAGTCCTGTCCTTCTCTATGTTCATGTGAAATTGATGCAGGTACAAGAGGGATAGGACTTCGATATTTGAAATAATTCTAGATTATGGCTGGTTTTTTTTACCAACAATCTGCCATCTGGAATAAAATAAGACAATGTTAACAACTAGCAGTTAAAGGGACAAACTTGTATTTATTGCACAAAGTTCCCCTAAAACTGGGAACAGTTATTATAATACAAGTCCACATCTTGAGATATGTATGTACATTTCTGTATGTGTGTATGTGTATGTATGTATATAACAGAAAAACACAAAAGATAACAATTATGTACATTTTATCCAGCATATAACACATACCACCATTTACATAATTTAGAGAAGACTGAAAACAAGACAATTAAAACCCCTTTTAAAAAAAATCTGTTTTTAACTCAAACAGATTTTAAAAGGCTACATTGAAAAATCATGTTTCAGATTTCCCTTTCCCTTTGTTTTTTTAAACAATCTTGCATTTGCAAGTTAACAGTGGAAATAAATTTGTTAGCATTTATGTGCAATATACTTAAATATTTTCAGCCTTAAAATTAAGACATTAATGGGCATTAGAAATATTGCAAAAATCAAGATTAGTCTTGTACATACATTGTTCTGAACAGCATGATATGAAGTCAATGCTACAGCACTGTTATACTTCCCTTAGAAAAAAAATTAAAATCCAGATAAATCTATGCAGTACCTTGATATTTCATGTACCATATATAAGTTATCAGTCACAAGAAAGCATGCTCTCATGCCATACTTTTGCACAGTAATTATTCCCATTATATAATTAGAATGAGTAACAAGATCATTAAAAAAAAAAAACAGTTCAACCAAATGCTTGGAATTGAAGGATAATGTTTAATTATCTAATAATTTTGGAGAAATTAATCAATGGTAACACTTATTACTTGAAGAAATTACCAAGGTCTCTTGTTAATCCAGTGCTTTTCAACCTTGACAGCTTGAAGATGTATGGACTTCAGCTTCCAAACTGGCTGGTGAATTCTGGGAGTTAAATTCCAGACATCTTCAAGTTGCCAAGGTTGAGAAACGCTGGCATTTACAAGCTTTTAAAATTGCCAGTGAACATATAGTTCACTCCTGCAGTGGAAAAACTTCCCACTTAGAGGTCCTACTTAGAGTTCATCTAGGAAACCGCATAAATGGATGCCTTCAAATCACCAATAGCCACCATCAAGAAAGATAACAGAATAACTACATATGCAGCTGTCACACAATGCAGGAACAGAGAGGGAACAAATAAGCAAATTCTTTGCTCCAACAAGAATTCCTGTATTTTACAACATGAAAATAGCATACCAGAATATTTTAAATCCACTTGTACTGTACAAACGCCTCTGCAGCTGAGAACAGAAGCCCTAAGAGGAACAGGAGAGCTGTAAGGCCAGGCCATACCGCTGCAATCAACAGCTTAATTTCTTAATACCACAGGAGGAAAACTAAGATGGAATATCATTTGGGATTCTTGGAAATCAGATGACAAATTGTTAAAGGCCAATCTATATGTGGCAAGAGCAGACTATATCCTAGCTTTACATGTGAATCACACAGGACCACTTTTAGATATGCAGATGATTGCTGGTCTTTTACCATTTTGAGTAATTATGACCTTCACTTCAGAATAATGGAGGAAAGAAAATTGACTGGAGATAACAAAAGCTTACGGTATAAACTGTCCTATCCTTTTGCAAAAAATGTAGTTGCAGAATATCTGCCATGAAGCTGCAGTGTGGAAACCCCTGTGGGACTTAACATTTGAGTTAAAATTTTGGCTTTCAGTACTGCAGACTTTTATCATTACGTCCAACACATTCATCACTTTTTTCAACATGGAAATCCTTGAAACCTGCAGTTTCTTTACTAAACATGTTCAAGGTGATTGTCTGCAAGATATATGGGGGTGAGGGGTGGGAGACAGATTTATGTTCAGACTGGAATGCAAATTATCTCTCAGTTGGGAAGAACCATAGAAAATATTATAAATCAGGTGTCCTTGACTATTGAAAAACTCTTTTTCCTGTCATAGTTGCAGCTTCTGTTTTCGGGCAGACTTTTAGATCCTATTGTTAAAAAAATTAAATTTTAGCACAATTATAATGTAGCCACCTGATGAGAACCACTTAAAAATCTAATCATACGTTTATTTTTGCCCCAATTTCCTTCTATTAAGATATGAGAAACAATTGAGCCCATGTTGTTTGCTGGGGTTACGTTAATGACCAGCCCAAGCTTAATTAATTTTAACTACAATAGGCAAATCTATGTCTACTTAATTGTAACATTTAATGCAGCCATTAGTGAGTGACATCTGTATTAAAATCAACCTGAGCTCTCAGGGTTCACATTATGCTTAGTGGGGAGACAGCCTGATTTGCAAAGCTTCTTATCTTTCCATTTGTTCTGAAGAAAAACAATGGCCCGACAAGTTAAATGCTAAACTCACTCACTTTCGTCTACCACTGCAAAGGCCCAGCAGACTGAATGCTAATTTATGATTACACTGTTAGGTAATGTGCAGGTGTAGGGATGGATTTTTATACCAGAAAAAAATCTTGCTAGAATTTTTAAATGTTTGGAAAGCTTAGACATGTGTAACAGGTCACATTTATCTGTGTGCTCTGATGGAAATTGAATATTGTTTTATATGGATTTTTATTCACTTCTCAAGTATGTTACTAAAACTGTTCCTTGACTGTCAAGGAACAAGTATTTATAATGTGGAAGAATAGTCTGCACATATTATTGTGACTTAATTATTTTATCATATACTTTATTCAAATAAAAACTGAATTGTTATTCATTTTAAATAGTTTTTTCTGTAATATTAGCCCCAATCTTACCGATTGCGGCAAGTATTTGAAAATAAGTGAAAATGACAGGGAAAAATAAGTGAAAATGAAAAATCTTCCTGTGTAAGGTAGTGATTTTGTTCAGTTAAAAAAAAAACACACACCAAATGCTGGAGAAGCAATCAAGTAGTAAGAAGTGGAGAAGTAGGGATCCTTTAACAAGTGATAAGATTTTACTACATAAAATAGTTTTAGGCTCTGTCCAATTATTTTTTAAAATTTTAATAGACTGCACAGGCTACTGTGCAATAAAATAAATGATTATTTGCAAATCTGCCCTATACCTTCTCCAGTTGAAACTGTTTTAAAGTTTCAACTTTAAAGTTTAAAGCCCAGATGATGGGCTTTCCTCCTATTATTACTGATGTCACAGACCTAATACAGTCATAGTATACAGCAATAGTGTTATCAAAGTAGCTCCAGAAGAACTGTTTTTATTACTGACAAGGGCAATGTAATATGCTTTCCAGCAAAGGCAAGGAAGAAAGACTCTAACAATCTTCAAAAATAGACCAAAAGAAAAAAAAACCTCAACAACTGAAAGGCTTCATGTGTATATGAATTAGGAAAAAATGTGTTTTGAGTTCAACTGAATTAAAATATCACAAAATAAAACAATTCGCTATGTTGTTGATGCTTGACTAGATACAGGGAAAAGTATTAAATGCTTTTAATGCCATTTCCAGTTCTTATTTAACTCGAGGTAGTAAAAATGATTCAAAATAATATCATCATCCCTAAATTAAAAACTACCACATCTTTTGGAACTACAACTCCCAAAAATCCATGTTGGCTGAGAATTCTTAGAATTCTAGCTGCAAAACATCTAGAGGGCTCTTCAGATTGATTTCAAAATATATGTTTATAACTTACAGGTCCCAAACCAGAATTCTTTATTGCTTAATCATGACCAAAACGATAGCATAGGATGAAAGGGGATGGCATAGTTTGCCTTTCCATTTTTATATCCCCACTCCATATTTCAAGGTCTTCTCCCAAAGACTGTAAGTGGGCACAGAGTGGTTGCCAGAGGATACAATTGGACAGAACTTGTAAATCCCATTAAACTCCCTGGGACTTACTTCAAAGCAAACATGCATATGATTAGATTGTAAACCAGTTCTTAATAAACAGGTTAGAAAAGTGATCTCATCAGAATAGCCTAATAATGAATACAATGCAAACAAATTGAGTTTGAAAGCTTAAAATTTGTCAGGATAATTAAAGAATTTTACCCCCAGCGTTTTAACTCTATTATAGAAATTGTATAATTTCTAAGGTATAAATTCTCAGTAATTCATTCTCTTCTGAATTTTTTGAAAAATACACTGAAATTAATGGAACATCAAGATGTAATAAAGCTCTTACAACATCCTCTTTTTAAAAAAAATAGGTTTAACAGCACCTAGTTTTTCTTTATAGCCTCCCAAATGAAGCTTGATCAAAAGGGGAAGAAATTCTTGTTAAAAAAACTAACAAAATATTACAGAACATTTGTTCAGCTTTTTCCTTTTTTATAAAAAAACAAATATTTGTTTTCTGTAATCTTTAAACAGTAGTATCAACATCAGAACATAACAAGCATAATGTCAATTTCGCACCCAAATGGGGGGGATATGAATATATATATATTCATATTTATTCATTCATTCTCAATCAATATCAAGCATTCATACGAATATTACACCCAGGTCTCCTCCTATGGAAAGAATTGCACACTACCTTCGCAACTCCTACATGCCATTAACAAATTAATTTCTGCACTTCTGACACAGTTGAATTGGTTACAATCCTACCTGCTTTTATCAAATAAACATTTTGTTGTACTGCTAATGCAGTTGAATTGGTTACAAAAAGACCTTTGTCATTATGCATTGTAAATATACTATTAATTGGCTTCAAACATTAGCTGTTTCCAATCCCTTGTACAAGCACCAACAGCACTTTGGAGGCCACAAAGGAGTTCTTCATTCTGGTGATCCTGTAATTCAACAGTCTGCAGTTACAATTGTTTTGGCAATCCTTGTCCAAACCATGTATAGTACTCCAAGCTCTAGTGTCTTCTTTAGTAATCTGAATCTCTGTTCCATTGGTTGGTTGGTTGATTTTTAAATGAATAGGCAAGGAAAAGAAGGGGAACATGTTTGTACATTTATGTGTTCACTTGCAGAGGCACATTATCAAGCTGGCAGGTTGTTCAAGTCACTTGCCTGCAAGGAAGAATGAGTCTGGAAAATGGAAGTTCATGTCTGTTTCCTTGTCTTCCGTTTTATAAAAATAGAATTATTGTCTTTGCCCTTTTGGGGTTTTAGAGAAGAATCTGGGCAACATAAGGAGAGTGGGTGCTTGCTACAGCTGCCAATAAAGGGAGGTCACTGGATTCAATCCTACAAGACAAAGAAATATTATCAACAATCACACTGACTTGAAAAATTCTGAAGCTCATTTTAGTTTTCTCCTGTAAAAGTACTTCTAGTTAGTTTATTAAAACATAAACAGCTTGTTTATATGAACTGTCAATGTACTTTAAATGTATTACAGTAACCTCTGGATGTTTCTGTAATTAAAGAATGCAAACACTTATTTCATAAATGCATATGACAGGATTGATGGTCACAAGAAGCAATTCCCCCAAGACCAATCTGACAACAGATCTGCTTGGCTAAAGACTTAATTGTTTCAGCTGTCTTGGGAATCAAAAGTGGACGGATGCAATTCTGAACATTTTCAAGCACACAATTTTTGATCACTGGGTTTAAATTTGGAATGCTTTCTTAAAATTAGATGTGAATAAATAGGAACCCAAGAAAAAGGAAAGAATAAACTAAGAAAACATATCCTTTGTATTGGCCTGATTTTATATGCTGCCTACAAATATAGCTTTAAGGACTGGTTTTATAGTAGATTCGTATACTGCGTAAGAACAACATATTGAGATATATCGTACATACAAACTTTTGTTCTTCCAAAAATTACCCTGTAATTTACCAACAGTCAGCTCTAATTGCTGCCCTCAGATAGACCCTTCTTGCTTAAAGTTATCTTCGTTTCTCACAGACGTTAATAGCTAAGCAGCTGGTGAAACCTATCTTTCCTGCTCCAAGTAGGTTATAATTTAAACTCTGCAACTCAGTACAGATGCTTTCCTAGTAAAAAGTTCAGTGTGAAAGCAAATGAGATCCAAATTGCAGGTCAAGTCAGTAATGCTCTTCTTGACTATGAAACATTTGTTGCAAATAGCCCTACAAGTTGTGTATTCAAAATAAACAAGTAAACAGGACCAAGAATTGGATAGAAAGCATACCCCAGTACTACTCCCAGTTCCTTCACATGAACCCGCATTTGGCCTTTGAGATATTCCGACAACATTTTGCTCTTAAAATACAGCTCCTGCAACCGATCTTCTAGGTGCATGATACACTAGGAACAAATGAAAAAAGAAACAATAACATCACAATATTGGCCGATAAGTCTTTATTGTAGGCACATACACATCTGAATATGCTTACATGTTGTAGTCATTATAATCAGTAAAGATATTAGACATTAATAGCATTAATTCTTGATAGTTGTCGAAGTTTGATAGTTAACTTAACCAAAGGTCTTGTCTTCCAAACAAGATTCTTGTACAGCTTTCATTAACTAGGCTTATTAAGTGAGGAAGAACAGGATACAGGAATTTCAGCAACTGGATTCTTACTCATACAGAACTTGAATAATGTCTTAATGTGAAAGCTGACACTGTTTCTCTTAACAAATGTCCTGTGAAGAGCCAAAAATCCGTATCTTTGCAAGTCATGAAAAACCTGGCGAACCATCTCCTTAATCTTTTTCAGCCTCTGAACATTAGTTTTACATTAGCTTACAGTGGGTTGCAGAGCTTAATATACCCCCTACTACTTGGGCTTTTGACAAAAAATAATAATAAAAGAAGACTAATGATAATCTTAAAATAGAAGAAAAATACTCAATGGAAAACTTTCCTGCTTTAAAACTCATCCTGTTACATATCCACAAGTATTTCTGAATTAAAGCAAAAAAAAAAAAAAGTGCAGAGATAATCTCTTCTGATTCAGTTTCATGAAGATAATTTTAACTGATTGTTGACATTATTATCAGTTTTCAAAATAGCCTCTGATTGGATGCATACCATTCTCTTTAAACTTTCAAAAACAAGCATGTTATAGGAAAAGTGGGAGTATATGTGAAAGGCATAGGAAGAAATAATGGAAAAGAGGCAAGCAATGAATAAATATTAAACTGTTGCAAAGTGTGGCCACTCTGACGGGTTTTGTAACATTTTTTCAGTTATTGGGGTTATAAATTCAAATATGAAAACTAAATAGTCTGTAGTCTGCAATTTCCTGTTTAATCAACATAAGAAACAAAACCCCAGAGTGGGAGCTTTAGATGTACTGATAATTATATTTTTGGACTATAATCTCTATCCACTTCTGCTGTTCTGTTCGGAAACCTCAGTCTTGGGAAACAACCAGAAGTTGAAGAATTGCTAAGTTTGCTGGGAAGTTCCAAACTTTGTAAGAATAAGTAGAGTTCACATAAAAAAATAAATTCAACTGAAGTCAAAGGAATTAAAGACATTTTGATTTTTGGGGGAGAGGGCAAATACAGTTATGTAGCACATGACAAAAACTGCAGGATTCCAATTCACAGTTCAACTGCCCAAGTACTTACAAAATTTGGAGATAAATTATGCTTATAAAGTTGAAGAGTGGAATGAAGCAGGTTGGAGACAAGGTTAGAGACTAGTACATCTTTCCCAAGTTTGTTGTCGATGATTCGTCTCTGGCTACTGGCCACTTGCACTGTCCATTTATCAGTATCTGCAATAATGCAGACAGCTTCTGCAATTGGTTCATCCAGAACAGGATGCTAGAAGTCAAACAGATACATGCCATTTAACAAATATGACTTTGGTATTAAAGATATTATAGCCAACAACCAATGGTGTAGCTGTTGTGGTCCGCCAGCAGCCTGCGGAGCTGGCAGCAGAGTCAGACAGTGAGGAGGCTGGGGAGGAACATGGGCCAGTCCTGGAGTCTGGGGAAGGCTCGGAGGGCTCTGCAATCAGAGGCAGGGAAAGGACCATCTGGGAGGTACATGCTGCCTCTGGAGCCTCCAGAGTCGGACCTCAGCGAGGCAGAGGAACAGGGGGAGTCTGTTCCCAGTGCACGCATGCGCAGAGCTGCCAGAAGGCAAGAATAGTTAAAACAAAAGGGACGACTCAGGAGTAGGGATTGGAGATGATTGGCCCCTCCCATAAGACTTAAAAGAGGAGCAAAGGCACGTGGGTCTTTGCAGGAAGCAACGTTGTTAATTATGTGCAGTTTAAAATCTGAAGCTCTGTTTGATTCTGGACTCTGTGTGGCTTTGCCAATTAGGTCTGTGGCAACGTGTTAAGGGAGATAAAGGTGGATGATTATCAGCCTTATCCCGAAGGACTCTTTACAACTATTTGGGACTCATCTGTGAATGAACAGAATTCACAGCTGTTAAAATAAATCAGGCTTTTGGGATTATTTGTTTATTTTACTGACTCAGGAAGCCTAGGTCAGAACAGTAGGAGAACTTTCACAGTAAACTTGATTTGAGAATGAAAATCTCAAGATAATTTAGAATCAGAGGTCAAACAATGTATCAGCAACAGCAGAGATGCAGTGTTTTGGGGAAAGCTGCAATTCTATGAAAGGCAATATATAATTTAATGAAACAAACTCTTAGTATATTCACTGTAATAAAGACACAGGCTATAAGCAACTGCAAAAGTCAGTCTACACATTCAAGACAATTTTGAAGTTCAACAACAGTTCCGGATCTCATTTTTAAGAACAGGTTCACATACAAGCTCTGAAACTTATTTAAAGATCTCTTTCTCTTCCTTTGCACTTTTGTGCAAGAGTGCTTCAATTTACATCAACTAAACTGATGTAGATCAAAGCACCTTAGAATGGTTCTATCTTTTTTTTTTTCATTTTGCAAATGAAGTTGTCTAAGGATGTCATCTTCCAATTCATATTGTAAAATTGTAGCCATAAGCCTGCCTTAGGCACAAACACCAGCAGAGGGAGTAAAAGAGAAGCACTTGTAAAATAATGAGTTTGAAGTAGTTCTGAAGCAGATCAAGTGTACCCAATTTGTTTACATTTGAACCACAAAAGTCTAAATGATTAAGGTCCTCAAATCACCAATATTATATCCATTCTCTCTCACAGCCAGTGTTGTGTATGGGAACATCTGTCAATGTATATGGGGGTCTATATACAGTATATTGTCTCATTACTCTTGGTCATTTTTGATGTTGGAAATTATACAGGTAGTCCTCAACTTATAATAGTTCTTTAGTGACGGTTCAAAGTTACAGCAGCACTGAAAAAAATGACTTGACTGTTTTTTCACACTTATGACCACTGCAACATCCCCATGGTCACATGATCAGAATTCAGATGCTTGGCAACTGACTCATATTTATGACGGTTGCAGTGTCCCAGGGGCATGTGATCACTTTTGTGACGTTCTGACAAGTAAAGTCAATGGGGAAGCCAGATTCACTTAACAACGATGTCATTAACTTAACAACTGCAGTGATTCACAACAACTGTGCAAGATAAGTTGTAAAATGGGACAAAATTCACTTAACAAATGTCTCAGTTAGCAAAAGAAATTATGGGGTCAATTGTGATGATTAAGTCTGGAATTTGAGAAAAAAAAATTGTTCCTTTTGTTTGAAAATAAATGGAAAACACCCATTTCAAATCACAAGCCAGAAAATGATGACTTATATTTCCTGAGTAATGTTAATCTTTAGGTCACTATTGCACAGGAAGTTGTTGGACAAAAATACAACCAGCTGCTAACCTTACAAAGCTATGGCACATGTGAAGTTAATTTTAAGGTCATATTTAATATGCATGTTCCTGTTCATAGTTCATTACTACTTGTCTACATTAGTAACAGCAACACCCTGTTACACTTTTTAGTGCCAGGAACAAGTGGAAAAACTTAAATAATAATTTAAAATATAAATGTTCCCTTTGTAGATCAGTTTATGAATCCTATTAATGTAGAATTCAGTTTAAACAAAGGGTCAACCAGATGCCTCTAAAATCTTCTAAGGAGGACAGGAAGATGAGTTCTTTACCATTAATACCTATTACTCAAACATAAACATTTAATGAATGGTTACATAAATAATATCACTAAATAGTGAATGAAATAAGATTAGCCACAAATTTGAGAATTAAATGTGACCTCAAGGAAGAGAACATCTAAAGATCCTTAGCCAAAGGTTCTTAGCCTATATTGAACAAGTCTTTGTTCAATATAGGCTATATTGTTCTTTTTTCTATGAAATGATAACATTTTTTTCTGAATGAGATCATGACTTTTTTTTTTTTGAAAAAATTCCATGCCTGCTCTAGCAAGGCTTCAGAAATATTTCTTTTTGTTGTCTTTTGAGTTATATTTCATCCGTTGAATATAGTTTTTAAATTACCTGCACAGCATGCGACAAATCTGACATCAAACAGTATCTCAGTTTCTCATCATTTCCTAGTCCTTGCAAAACAAAGTCAGGTACGTAAGATGGACAGTAGCCACCTAGCAAGGACCTTCCAAAATTGGCAATACTGGGCTGGACAGAGTTCACTTCAATTAATTTTGACCTGAAAAAAAGGTATAACATGGGCATATATACTATAACTAGCACTGATTTCTCTCCACTTCACCGAAACACTACAATGGGCAACTATTGCATCAATGCCACCAACATTTCACTGATTTCAGTGGGACTTACACACATATAAGCTCCTATACAGCTTGTGTTTGCTATACTATATCCTCTAGGTACAGTAAGGATCCTAGGACCCACCTTGCCTGGAAAAACACCTGGAAATTTTTTATCATTTTTATGCACAGTTATGATTATTACATCAGCATGACTGTGTTTCCTTGAACATAGCCAAATTTTAAAATACTGCCTGTAAAATTAGACATATTCCAACTATCTACCAATGAATTCGCCAACATGTAACATTCTTATTCTAGAATGTGTTTTTATTCTTATTTTAACATGTTTTGTTTTCAACTGACCATAATAAAGTCTGTCTATCATGTATAAGGATATGATCAATTTTAGTGCAAATTGGGTCATCTTCACCGTGGCTCAAGGTTAGAATACGGATTAAAGAAACTTCTATTTGGATCATAGAACAGACATGAAGAAACTATATTAACCTGGTTAATAATAGTCATATTATGTTTTTAAACAATCGTCTTCCTTTAAATAACCTATCCTAAATTAGGGTTATACTCCACGAAGTGCGAAAGGTAATTAGAGACTCTTAAATTGCAGCTTCAGTGAAATAAGTATCATTTGCATTACTGCATTTCTTAAAATAATGTCAAGAAAGAAACCCAGTTAAAATAATTAAATACATAGCATTTTCTTCATAGAATATGTGTTTAACCCTTACACACATACATCTACAAGTCTGGCTACTACCTTCAAAACCACTATTTGGGAGGAATGTAGTAAATCACTGGGCAGGGAAGAGGGAATGGCGTTGAAGAAAAGAAGGAAGAGTCACTACCAAGACAACGGTCTGATAAAAGAGGGTCGAATCCAAGGCAGATAGTAACCTGAGAAGACATCTCAGACAAAACCCTCCCTAGTTCTCACAAAGAAAAAGGAAAGGAGGGAGGGGGCAGCACATTCAGATTTGCAAGATTCTGTTATTATTACCTATTCAATAAAAATATTTGCCTACAAGACGTTGGTTTCCTCATTTGGTCTACTCTGAAGGGCTGACAAGCATCCAGATTTGAGAAAATGTACATTGCTACAAGAAATACTACCTACCCAGGAAATGGTATGTCCTCTTCTTCTGTCCATTCTTCTTGCTCTGCCCCATAATAATTGCTGCTTGTCCTTGCAGTATCATGAGCTGCATCCTCACTTTCACTGTCACCAAGAGCACTATCAGAACTCTCATTCCTTGGAATGTCCCAATCCACACCTGGATCAGATTTTTTTTCTAAATTCTCTTTTTCCCCATGGGGGATAAATATGGAGAGATTTTCTCTTTGGTCCTGCTCTGCAAAACAGTTTTTACAAGTCTCTTGACGAACAGATTCCATAAACTTACAAAATTCACTAGGGGATTTGTTATTCTTTGTACTCAAAGTTTTGAGTGGAAATTCTAAGCTACTACTAGAGTCTAGAATGTCTCTTGCTGTTTCCACTGGAATATCATCTATAGTCCTGGTTACAACAGAACCTTCTTCAGTAAAATATTCGGTAAGCAAATTTGCACTTTCCGCTCCGTAAGGACTCCAATTCTGGACCTCAATAGTAACCTGAGGGAACTTTTCAGGCACATTCTGATCTCTTTTTTGGTCCTCAAGGGTTTGTTTTTCACAGTTCTGCTCAGCCATTGTTCCTTCTTCGATCTCCATATGGCTGCTGTGCCTGGACATTTGTTCTTCAGCCACTTGACTTCGCACCTCAATATCTGAATCAGGGGACATAGAATCTCCAATGAGGAAAGTCACCTTTGTTTGAACTTCAGCCGCACTACAAGGAATTGCATGAGATGACGTTTTATCAGGCGGTTTCTTCTCTACCATTGTACTTGTTGATCTCAACAGTTCAACAGGCTGATTGTCAGAATCCATCAATTCTGTATTCTGCCATAATCCACCAGTTGGTTCTAATCTGGACTCTGGCAACACACACGTTTCCACAGATGCTGATCCTGTGAAGACTATTCTTTCTAAGTTTATTCCTGCACAAGGCATTGATGCTTCTTTGCATTTAACTTCAACAGACTTTTCTTGAACATTAGAAGGCTCCACACTGCTTTCACATGAAGCAGCTTTATCCATCTTTAGGCCATTCTGTGAATCTTCTTTTTCCAGTCCTGAAACACTATCTGACTTTTGATTAGGATTAACAGGGCATTTGCAATATTTACAACTGCAGTCAGAAGTTCTTACTTCTTCAGACTCTTGAAAGGATAGATTGCTTCTGTTCTTGTGCATTGTGACGAGCACATATTCAGATTCCTCCACCTCTCCTTTTGCTAGTGTTGTGGTGATGACTGTACCAGGCATTACTATGGCTTCATCCTCACCATTTTCCAAAAGATGAGTCTCTTGCAACTCTGAGCATCTTATGAAATAAGTAAGGAAATAAAGTAAACGTTGCACAAGATCTTGCCTTTTGCCAACCACAACTGTTTTTGATAGTCTCACAGGTGATCCAATGGCTCCATACAGATCTCCTGTGAAACAGAATATAAAAGCAGTATGTTGTTATTTTCAGTATGCAACAGAATAATTGAATTATAGTGGAGATCTTCTGTATAGACTAAGAGTGGACAATCTTTTTCAGCTCTAAGCCAAATTGGTACAGGAAACACAAATTCGCATATACACACATTGTCTATCTCACAATCGTCAACTTGCTGTTAAGGGGCACTGTCACTATCGAAATTTATAAGAAGGCAGAGTATCTTTCTATTTCCCAACACTTAGAACAGAACTAACCATCTGGAGAAGAACCACTGTGAAAGAGAAAAAAAGCAACATGGCTTTCCTATCATGAATTTTACAATGCAATTAAAAGAGAGAGAGAGAGAGAGAAAAAAATGCCCACCAAACCGAACTCTAGGGCTGGGCAAATCATTTAAAGTTGCTCCTTGAAGCCTGATATAACATTTCTGAGATTATTCAGAAATGTCTGGACATGCATTAAAAAATTGATTGATGGAGGGTACCTCTCAGAACAGTTTGCAGAGAATCCTGGTTGCATTGGTTTGTTCTATCTCAAATTGTCACTATTAGATCACTCTGTTCTACTTCTATGATTATAGCCAAATACTGTTCCATAGTAAGTACAATGTGTCGTAACTTCTCTTCAAACATCTTTTAGACATTCTCTGTTTGGAACTATTTCAGATGCAGCTGTTTATCTGGTTACTCCTCTATAAGAATGTACTATGGCCTTACTGTCAATTGATTCTTACTCCTGTCTTTTTTAGCTCATTTTGACCATCGCTACAGATATGGCCTGGGCATAATAAAAGCAAACTAACAGCAAACTTGCAGCTTGAAACTTTGTATATAAAAATCCCACAGAACGTGATTTGCTTAATGCATAACAATGCCCAATCCATTAGGAACAGCTGGATAAAATTCCAGAGTTTTGCACTTCAGAATTCATAATTTATCATAATGCCATTTCTGAATAAATATGCATTGAATCAGACTGTAAGAAACTTGACTAACAAACTTGGAAATACAGGTAGTCCTTGAATTGCAATAGTTCATTTAGTGACCATTTGAAGTTACAAAGGCACTGAAAAAAGTAACTTATGACTGTTTTTCACACTTATGATCATTGCATCATCTCCATGGTCATGTGATTTACATTCGGATGCTTGACAATTGACTCACAATTATGATGGTTGCAGTGTTCCAGGGTCATGTGATCTCCTTTTGCAACCTTCTAACAAGCAAAGTCAATGGGGAATCCAGATTCATTCAACAACCGTTTTACTAACTTAACAACTGCAGTGATTCACTTAACAAATGTGGCAAGAAAAGTCATAAAGTTCTAATACATCTGTTTTAGCAATCAGGAATTAAACAGCTTAGCGAAAGGGTATTTTGTTCATGGAAGAAATATACTGAGGTAGTTTAAAACATACCTAATTGTGCCCACAGTGGATTGTATGGATGACTCTTTGCCAACATGTCCACTGTCTGTGAGGAATGCTTCTCTAGAAATATTCGAATTGGTGGCTGGCCATTTGGCATGACAGTTGGAACCCAGGCCAGATGGTTTGTCAAAACTGCAGTTAGAAGAGCAGGTAAAAATCTGGATGGGAAAAAAGGCATATACTTTAGAAACTGAAGAATTAAAGAACTGTACAGGATTTTGGATGAATTTACTTCTATAAAAGGAAGCCTGTAATTCACAATGTCCCTTATGTAAGAGAGAATTCAATTAACATTTCCAGGTCAGGGAATAGAGTCTAAGGTATTTCCAAAACTCTGACATAGTATCACGTTGTTGTTTCTGTTTCAAAAACGGTACATCGGGGAACAGAATGCAGATGTTGTGTTCTACTTACACATGGAGTTTCTGAATTGGAACCATTAAATACAAACTATTTGGATCTTTTTTTAATTCTACAATGTCAGATTTTTGTAAGAAACCAAAATGTGTAATGCTAATAACTTTTAAAGGCAACTAGAATTTCAAATGTACTTCCCCCCCCCCACACTTTTCTGGAAGAGAAGATGCATTAGAACTTTAAAAGGACTTTTGGCTTGGCCTAGATCACATTGTGCTCTCAAGAAGCACAAGAGGATCTTCAGTCAGTCACCTCTTGACTGGATTATTGTAACATCCTTGCTGCTTCTCAAGATGCACTGGTTGACAGCTGGCTTACAGATGCAATTCAAGATCCTAATTATTCCTTCTAAAATCTTGCATGGGCCTGATTATGTGAGGAACTGCCTCTATCCATATGTCTCCTGGTCCAGTGGTGAAATCTAAAATTGTTACTACCGGTTCTGTGGGTGTGGCTTGGGGAGGTAATGTGACTGGGTGGGCGTGGCCATTTTTTTTTTACTTTTAAAACCATTGTTTCTACAACCTCTTCGGCGAAGAGGTTGTAAAAAATGCTTTCAAAAGGCTCTGACGATCCCAGCTGAGTTGCCTGATCGGCAGAGGCATTTTAAAAAAAAAGGGTTTTTTTCTTTTAAATGCCTCTGACAATCCAAGCTGAGTTGCCTGATCAGCAAAGGCTTTTTAAAAGCCTTTGAAGATCCCAGCTGAGCCGCGCAATCATCAGAGGCTTTTTTTTTTTACTTTTAAAAGCATTTTTTCGGCCGAAGAGGTTGTAGAAAAAATGTTTTTAAAAGTTAAAAAAAAGCCTCTGATGATTGTGCGGCTCAGCTGGGCATGGGGAGCGGGGACAGGGATTTTTGCTACCGGTTCTCCGAACTACCCGCCTCCATTGCTACCAGATTGAGCAATCCGGTCCAAACCGGGAGCATTTCACCCCTGTCCTGGTCCCATTAATTAAACAGTGACATCTTGGGGAACCTCAGAAGCATCCCTTCTCAGTGATGTCCTGTAGAATGATATCCACCATCGTCCTGAGATTTGAACTGCTCCCACCTTTTTTATTTTCCAGAAATTGCTAAAGATGTGGTTGTTTTCCCACATCTTGGTTTAAGATTATGCTTGTTTTGCTGTTTGGTTCCTTGGGTTTTGTCCCTGGCCAGTTGTCTTCTTGTTTCTTGATTTTAATTTTTTATCAGTAAGCCACTTAAAGAGTTGCCAGGGATTCAGGCGGCTTCAAAATAGAATTAATAAGTAAATAAATAAATGGTATTCTTAAAGAAGCTTTGAAATCTGGATACAATATACCATGGAATTGCATCAGTTCAACTGTCTGCCCTTTGAGTAAGGCAAATTCAAGAAACATAGAAGCAGGAATTTCAGGAATCTTCTTTATTGTTGGAGGGTAAAATAATGAAATCTTGAAAGTCTATCAAGATGGATTTTCTCTATGCCCCACCTTACATCAAACAAAATCATAGCTTTTATTTAGCTATGTTAAAATTATAGCATAGTTTATTTTGATTTCCTTCCTTGTGGTTTTCTCTTTCTCATGCTGAATCTTTTTTTTTAAAGTTCCCCCTTAACGGTTTGTTCTTTTCTTCACCATTCCCAAGGGCAAGTCTACATTCCTTCCCCCCCAGCTAAGAAAATGTAGTTAACATATGATATTGGGCAGCTGGTAGCTTTCCAGCGTCTGGTTACTGAGCACTTTGGAAATTATATGGTTTGGCAGTTCATCTTAAGTTTTCCTTCCTGTTTATGCAAATCTGTATTCTTTCAGTCAGCCATCAGGTCTCATTGGCTAAAATCTTTTACAGCAACATTAACTATTTTTTTTTTTAGAAACTGAATTGAACCATGACTTAAAGACGCTGAAAAAAGACTTAAAATATTTACGAGTTGTGTTTTCAAGTTATTGTTGGCTATCAGGGTTATATAGTAATATTGATACTAAGCAACTGTATTCTGTTTCATTTTTGGTTGTTTTAATGATAGTTTTTGGTTTAGAATTGAAAATTATGCTACACTTAATAAAGATTTAAAATGTTAATTCAGCAGTTTAACTTTGGCTTCAAAGAGAAAATTGAAATTTGTTACCAATTGAGGTAATTTTCTTTTAGGTTTCTACCAGTAGTGGGTTTCAATTTCAGTCGCTACCGGTTTGCTCATGGGCACATGTGTGCTCATGTGCGCACGCGATGCTTCTGCACAGAAACGTCTGGGTGCGTGGAGCCTTCTGCCACCACCGCTACCGATTTGCCCGATCTGGGGCAAACGGGTAGCAACCCACCACTGCTTTCTACCTTCACTGTCACTTGAGGGTACATTTTTAGATCCTGATAAATAGTATCCTTTATGGGTTTGAGGCATTTTTATGGGAAAAAAAGGACACTGTTATGCATGTAATTTTTAATAAACTGCTACAAGATTTAAAAAGAAAAAAAAAGAATATAGGAATGATTTACTGGTTCCTGGAAGCTTGTTCCATTAGGAAAGTAAATTCCTTCATAAAGTGATGGCAGAGTTGGTTCTTCTCAGGCATCCCCGACATCATTGTAAGCCAAACTGGTTCTGTAATCCGTGGCATAGTATAGAGATTGCAAATTGTTGTTCTAAATGGCAAAAAAAAGGCAAGATTAAGGTTACCAACATAAATGTTACATCACATGGCTCAAAGAGGCATTTTGTATGGGGGCAAACAAACTGTCATTTTTTTAAAGCCCCAATCCCAATAAGCCTCACCTCCCTGCTTTCAACATCTCCTGCATACTGAGGATACTAAAGCACCCCATTCAACCTTAGAACCGCCTCTTCCAGCCAACTTTATATCTCCAAGTGCTTCTCTGATATTTCTGTCTAGATGCCTCATTGTCAGCTCAAGCTCAGTATGTCAAAGACTGAACTTCTCATCTTTCTCTCCTCTACTCATTCCATCTCCTTATCCACGTCTTTCAATTTGCCACTTATATTTAGTTGAATGATGGCCAGATAGCATTACTTCAAAGTAATTTATATTAAGATTTTTTTCTTTTTTTAAGTATAAGCCTTTTAAGAGCTCTCTTCAGACCTAAGCAACTTATAACCATTTACTGTAGAACATCTTCCTTTTCAAGAATCTAAATGAAGTTATTTAAAATGTGTTAAAATATGTTAATCATCTATAACCACATTAAATATAAAACATGAACACTGTAACTACATTAATCAATTAAACATGTACGAGTGCATTGAAGCACAAATATATTATTAGTAGCATTTAATGTGACTTTCTATATAATGCCACGATGAAGTGATAATTTTTGTCTTTTTGCTGAGTATTTTTGTAAGTGGTCACATATGAAAAATGGATCAAATGAGATTCAAAGCAAGCGAGAAAGGAAAATAAGTTTCTTCTAGAAAATTTCAGCTTATGCAATATATGGAGAACTATACCTTCAAAGAAGACACGGGACAAGGTTTCTCAAACAAGAGAAAGTCCCTATGTAAACTAAATGAAACAATAGCATGCCAACAGAAAGATACAAGGATGTAGAGTATGAGGAAAGAGAAAAAAAAGTTATAAAATGTATAGATTTAAAACAAGATACAGTGCATGGTAGACATCCCAATTCAATTATTGTAGAATCCAGTCCTATCTTGACTACATAGTCTCAGAGTTGGATAAATATGCACAGTTATGTAATTACACAAGCGAGTAGAGTTTTTCATTCGCAAAGTTTTTCTTTACACAAATTGTAAAGCTGAATTTCAACATGTTCTGAGATTTGGGATAAAAAAAAAGAATAAGTAACACTGGAGAAATTCTAAAGATCTTCTTTATAATAACATGACTGCTCATCTTGAAAAAACAACCCTACTAAACTTCTACTTGTTCTAATTGACTCGATAGATATTTTCTTTGTATTATTATGTAGTTATTGGTTCACCTTAACAAGTTTTTGTCTATTGTTGTGTCTTATTTAGGCAGAAAACAAATACAATTTACACACAGTATCAAATGCTGTCAGTAAATCTAAAAGCTACAAACAAGTTTAGAAGTGCCTTCAATATTTCATTATCATCATTATCATAAGATTCATCACTTCTGCAATGTTTATCAATATTACATTTCAACTTGTTTTTCATGGCCGTGTTAGTTGGAAACACAGGGAGTTGAAGTCCAACATATCTGCAGAGCACTAAGCTAAAGGAAAGGTACTCTACTGTGATTAAAATAATTTACTGATCATTAAACTAACTGCTTATTCTTTTCCTGTTCACCTTATGTATTTTCCTTTCTTGTTTCATTTTTTTTTCTGTTGCACCTATTTTCAACATGTTTCTCACCTGGGGCAGGGTTATCATATTTAGAAAACTTTGTGTAAATAAATCAATAAAAACAACTTTTCTGTTTAACCAATTCGTGTAAAATGAAAGCAATGCATAGAAGGATAGGAAATCACTTATTCTGCAGACAAGAAGATATTGTTTGAAAATCTACAAATCCAAGGGGAAAAAAGAACCCCAAGAACGGAATACCATTAGCATCGTTACTGTTCCATACTTTTAAAATCACACCATCTTTCAAGCTTTCCTGGTTACTACTACATGCAGTTTAAAAACTGCCACAGTGGCCTGTTTGAAGGTCCCTTGCCAAATACTAATGCAGTTTTCCATTATCCTTAATTATTTCTGTAACGGTGTGTGTGGGTTCCATGAGCTCTATACTATCCAACCTGGAATTCTTTAAATGACAAGCTAAGAGTTTCTCACAGAGAAAAGAGACTACAACAGAGCCTAGCAAAACTGGTCAATTATTAACTACAGGTAGTCCTCGACTTACAACAGTTCATATGTATGACTGTAACTTTGTTGCTGGTATCCTTACGATTTATATTGATATTGTTTCCTGATTGCTTATTTGTACCCTATGACTATCATTAAGTTTTGTACCTTATGATTCTTGATGAACGTATCTTTTCTTTTATGTACACTGAGAGCGTATGCACCAAGACAAATTCCTTGTGTGTCCAATCACACTTGGCCAGTAAAGAATTCTATTCTATTCTATTCTATTCTATTATTTAGTGACTGTTCAGAGTTACAACAGCACTGAAAAAAGTGACTTAGGGCCATTTTTCACACTTACAAGCGTTGCAGCATCGCCATGATCATATAATCAAAATTCAGACTGTTGGCAACTGTTGTAGTGTCCTGGGATCATGTGATCACCTTTTGTGACCTTTCTGACAAGCAAAGTCAATCGCTAAACAAAATTCATGTAACCGTGCTACTAACTTAACAACTGCAATGATTCACTTAATAACCGTCACAAGAAAAGTCGTAAAATGGGGGAGACCTCACTTAACAAATGTCTTGCTTAGCAACATAAATTTTGGTTCAATTGTGGTCGTTAAGTCGAGGACTACCTCTATTGATAATATCAATGTGATTCAAACTAAGCCCCTGTAAAAGAGAATTAATATTAGCAACTCTAAAAGGTCCTGGAGATTATGAAAGTTTGGAAGACATAAAGAAACTGTTCATCATTAGAAGGTGTCCTCCAAAATAGATTGATAAAGGCTAATATAGGTAGTCCTCAACTTACAACCGTTCATTTAGTGGCCGTTTGAAGTTACAATGGCACTGAAAAATGTGACTTATGACCGTGTTTCATATTTATGACCGTTGCAACATCCATACAGTCACATGATGAGAATTCAGACGCTTGGCAGTTGACTCATATTTTTGACAGTTGCAGTGTCCTGGGTTCAAATGATCAACTTTTTGCAACTTTCTGACAAGCAAAAGTTAATGGGGAAGCCAGATTCACTTAACAACTGCATTACTAGCTTTAACAACTGCAACAATTCACTTAACAACAGTGGTAAGAAAGGTCATAAAAGATAAGAAAGGTCATAAAATAGGGCAACTGTTTAACAACTGTTTCACTTAGCAACAGAGCTCAAATTTTGAGCTCACTTGTGGCCGTGAGTTGAGGCTTACGTGTATAGAAGGCTATTCTGTAGTATTTTTTCTATGAAGTACAATATTGCTTGCTCTTTCATTACCAAAGACTCAGAATCAGAGAATTCTGGGAGTTGGAAGTCCACATACCCTCCTGAGACCAAGGCTGGGAAACACAGACTCACAGTTAAACATAAAAATCGGAAGAAAACTACAGTTTTCTCCAGGTGACTTTCGTTCCTTTGGCTTTCCTTGGCCAAATCTGCCCAGATCTGCCATCCATCCGTCAGAATTCCCACCACCACCACCACCAAAACAACAACAACATGAAAAAACCCATGCTTGAAATGGAAGGTGTAACTTGCATAACAAAAAAAATAAAAAAATCACCCCATTTTGCAAAGCTGAGGTGCAATTCAAAGTTTTCAAACCAGCCTCCTGGGTCCCATTTCAGCATATTCAAACCCACCCCCTCACCCCACCCAAAGCAAGCTTTCAGAAAGCTACCTCAGTTTGAATAGTCCATAGGTACTTCAAGGGCGGGAGAGAAACAGGAGGAGGAAGCAAAGAGTTTCTGTTTTAAGCCAGAGATATTAAACGATTTGTTTTCGTTGAAAGGCTAGCTCCAGTCTTGTGACTCCTTATTTACTATTCTGGTAACTGTGGCTGCATCTGCAACTGATAGTGTTTCCTCAGAGAGATCAGATTCCACTGGCCGCTCGCCAGCAGGCATGTGACTGCAGCGAAGGGAACCCTCCGTGCCAGATATAGAAGTAATTTGCACAAAACACTAGGCAGAGGATTAACTGGCCAAGGGCGGGTGGACAGCCTGCCTTGCATTTTCTCCCTGGTTCTCTCTCTGAGGATAAGCAAGTGGCAGGCATCTATTCCTTCCCTCCTCAAAGAAGCATCACAGGGCACAGCCAGAGATTATGTAAAGCCCAAAGCACATCACAGACTGTTTCAGTTTTTCCCTCACATTTACATCTTAAGAGTCTCTAGGAAATCTCTTTGCCTCTTTTCTTACTGAGGAAGACCTAATCAAGTCAACGTGGCCACTACTCAGAAAAGAGAGTGGGTGGGGTGAGGACTCGGTCACGGCTGGAAAAAGGAAGCTATGCACACCCAAGAAGAGGAACTGGGATGAAAGGACACAGGCTAATTGTAGAAATACATATACATATATCTACAAGTCTAAGCCTACCTATAGTTAATGGGGGTGACTTGTAGGGCAATTTAGTCACTTGTCCAGGCGTTGATTAGTGGAAAGCAAAGTCAAGGCCCTTAAAGCTTTTTCTTTTGGTTCCTCAGGACTATATCAGTTTTAGACCAGACAGAAGCTATTCCCCACTTCCACTATTATGATAATTATAATTATTGTATAATTAAAATGAGTAGGGTGGAGGCATCCATTCATGTAACACAATGTTTGTAAACAAGGCCACATGCTTGTCACACTGCTCAAAATATAAATATATATATATATGCACACACACACACACACACACACACACACACACACACACATGTATCACACCATGCAGACTGCGGTATAATATGGATATTCACAATCCAGCTGAGCTGATTTTTATAGAGAAAATCCTCTCAGAAGATAAAGCTCAGAGCTTATGTCTGCGCTCTGCTTAAAAGCTCCAGTACTCCCGAC